CAAGAACAAGAGATTTCATGGGTATTCAACCCCAACTTGTGTAAAACATGATAATAACTGCAAGAAGACCAAGAAAAGATGATTTCATAGCAAATATATAAGATTGAGAGTCAAAGAATACATATATATTAGCCCTAGTATCAATGGACAAGAAGGGAAGAAAATCCCCTATCTTCTTCTTCCTTGGTTTTGTGTGAAGAACTTGAGATTTGATCTTTCCCCAACTTAAATCAACTCTTTATCTCTTGTTTTTCCCCTCCTTTTTTTCTCTAGAGGACTTTCTAGGGTTAAAATGTTGAAATGGGGCTAATGGAGGCGTCATTATGTATTTATAGGTAAAAAATAGACTCCAGATCGCGACTTAAAATTTCTGGAACTTACAGAACGTACCGGTACACAGTATCGGTACGGTAAACTCTCTGGACAGTAGCATACCGGTACGGTAACTTCTGAGAGTACTGGTACGCAGTACCAGTATGGTCTGTTCAATTTTGCCTGTTTCTTTTGTTTTTCATTTTCAATCCATTCCAAATCCTTCCAAAATCAACCCACACTTATACAACATACATTTGTATATCAAACATAGTTAGTATAAGTTCTAGTGCAAACGGTTTCATATATTTACAAGTCAAAACTAAGTTTAAACTAAATATTTACCCGATTCTACACTATTAACATTTGTATCTCTACTATTACAATTTACTTAGTTCATGCATACTCTATTACTTAAATTAGTATTTCAAAAACATAATTACGTGTTATATAAAGATAAAAGTGTGCGGGTTTACAATATGTCTTTCTTTTCCACTCTTAATTGGTTTTTCTGACCAAAAAAAAAAATTGGTTTTTTACTTTTTGATTTAAGTTTTTTAGTGGGTTTATTTGTTTTATCTTTTTCATAATTCTTTTTATGAAATTTTCTTCTTTTCTTATATGGTTTATTATAAGATTTTCTTTTAGATGAATATTTATCTTTTGGAATATCAAGATTATAAGTAAATTGATTACAAAATTCTTCAAGTTTTTTTCTGCCGGTTAACCTTTGACTTTTAAGGTCAGCTTTAAGATTTAAATCATTACAGAGAGCTAAACGTCTTTGCTTTAATCGAATCCTTATTTTTTCAGCAACTAAGCCGGGTAAACCAGATATAAATTTTTCTTTTCAAAACTCATTATTAGCAGCTGTTCTCAATAAAACTTTTGCCAAAAATACATCCCTATACCACCTAAAATGTGTTAAGGTGGGACATCTTAAATTCATTAAAAGTTCTTTACTCTTATCTGTATTTTGTAAGCTTATCCCTACAAAGTATTTTAATATTGTTTGGATTAAAGTATAAACAACATCTCCTTTGGTGGTTATACTCCCATCTTTCTGCTGTTATTATTTTTATTGCTTTTAAAATTTCATGTTTTTGAGTTAAACTTAAATAGCTATCCCACCGATCTCTTAATTGGCCAATAAATCCTGCAGTTATAAATTTAATAATAGCATGATCTGAATTTTGATTAGCTTTACATATAAAAGCATATATTAAATTTTTTTATAAAACTTGATGAATTAAATATTCTAACATGTCATCAATATTCCGCTCATAAATAGAAGAGGCATCATATCCAGTTTAATCAATAAAAAAATTTTCTTCATATAAAATACCTTGAGGAGTTGATCTGTGACAATAAACCCTCATAGGGGGTGCTTGTAAATATGTATTATTTTGCCTTTTAGGTTTATAATCCCAATTTTATTTATTTCTTCATATTGCATTTGGTGTTAAAAATCTTTTAATTGTTGTATTTCAATTTTAGATTGCTCTACACTTTCTGTCTGAGAAATTACATTTAATGACAAATTTTTAAATTTTTGTTTAAGTTCATTTATGAACTCATCTTCAACTTTATTATGCAGATTAAATATTGAAATACCTACAGGAGGCTTAATGTTCACCTTTTCAATTTCAACCTATGTTTTCTCTTGAGATTGAGAATGCAAAGATTCTTGTATTTGTTCTCTTATTAAATTTTTAATTTTACTCAAGTGTTGTTCTACCACTTGTAGACAAACATTAATGTAATTATTTTATTTTATAGAAATATTTCTTACTATGTCATGATTATCCTTTAGAGAATAGCAAGCATTCATAATAATGTCTCTGAGCTCATTTGAAGTGGAGGTTATCTTTACGATTTCATGTGTAGGAGGGTAAAAACTATTTATACTTTTACCATCCAATGTTTCCCAATTATGTTGGAATTGTTCAATTACATTTAATTGATCCATGGTGGGTGGAGCATAATAGGTTAAAAACCATTTAATAAAAAGAATTCCGCTTTTTTCCATTTTTATATAATAGTAAAACATTTATTTATATCTTTTACAATCCTCTTGGTTCATAGTCTTAAAATATCAAGTTCTAAATTCCTCATATTTAAGAAGATAAAATTCTTCATTAATTTATTTTTTATTTATTATAAATTCTTTTGGGTTTATGTCTATAAAATTTATAATTGAAATTCGATTTCAAATAGGGTTGGATCTCGATCTTCCTCTAAGGAAGATTCATTATCTTGCCCATAAATTCCATGAGAAATTTGATTACGTGAGATTTTAATTCCCTCAATTATAGGTTCTTTTTCCCTTCTCCTATCTGGGATAGAAGAAGTAGACCTCTTACTAAGAGTATAATATACTGATGAAGCTCCTGATTTATCAAAAAATTTTAAATTATCTCTAGCAAATCTTATCATTATATTGCCCTGAGATTATTAGGAGATGTGTGTTACTTCTTCATTTATTTCTGATTGTTTAGAAACCGCAGATTCCAATTGTTAGTTTTCTGAAAACTAAATTTCTAACCATTTAATGGTTTTAGAAATTTTAATTTTATTTTTAATCATATTTTTTTCAATTAAAGTTGTTTGACCCTTAAGGTTATGAAGCCTAGTTTTTGAACAAAGAGTATTCATCACTTTATAATATATCCTATAGGTAAAAGTCATTATGTTTATTCCATCTTTCAAATTATAACCATAAGTTTGAATATTACAATTTAAAATATTTAATACATATTTATCTATTAAAGATACTGATAGATTTGAAAAACTGTTAAAATAGACTAGACTAGTACTTAAACTAGATTGCATAACTGCCATTAATGATTGATCAAACTCTAGACACATACCATCTCTTAAGACTAACATAAAAAGAGGTATTTAATCCTTGGAGAGTGAATGGTTTTAAAGCCACATGAACTAATCCAATATGTTAGAATTTATAATTTTTTTGAAACTTTAAGACTTCTCTTTCTGTTAATAGTTGTAAGGTATTTTCATTTTGATCAAAGAAAATTGTTCATTTTAGCTTTTTAATTGTTAAACTTGATTTAAAATCAAAATTTTCAATATTATATATTTTCTACTTGAGTACCAGGGTATATTCCAATTCTGTTATTTATTTTCAATATCTGAAAATTCAATTTCTTCCATATTTTTAACATAATCATCTTTATATTTATTATTAAATTTAAATAGACCTAATGTCATATTTGTTTTTCACAAAAGTTTCTGTTGACTTATATGCTTCACTATTACATTCATGTTGGTACAGTAATTCGTCTTTTAATTCTGTTACAGTAATGCTATAATGACTGTTGCTATAATAATTTTGCTATAGCGATTTTTTTCTAATTTACTACTCTTGTTGTCAACGATTTACGGGAAACACAAACGACCTCACTCTTATCTTTCGGACATGGCCTAAAATCCCACACGCGACTTTGGTGCAAAACCATAGGAACAAAAGAAAACCATTATAACAGAATTAATATAACAAATTCAAAATAACACTAGTCTAACATAATTAAATCACAATTACATAAACAACAAGAATTAATAATTGATATGTATATAAATCAACATAATAAACTTAATCTGCCATTACTTCTAATACCAAGAATGAAAGGATCCTGCAATTATCAAAGAGAGCTTTTATTTATAAAACAAAGTTGTACAAGACTTACAGATATATATATATATACACAAAATGATAAGTCAAGAAGTAGAATCAACTGATCCAGCTAAAACACTTGGTGCTGACTATCCATTTAACACTATACTGGTCCTCAGGGCGTGAAGCCCGCTAATTCTCCATCCATCCGTGTGAAATCAAGGTAAGCTATAGATAGACATGGTTAATAAGTAACCTGTCTTAATCATTATGATGGCAAACAAGAAACAACTGCCTCTAAAAACATCCAACCAAATCCCAAGGAGAGAGGGAAGAGGTGCAGATATGCAACTGCAAGCATGAACCGAGTTGAGACCCAACGAACAGCAGCCCAAATTATACAACCCTTCATACGTGATGCCTCGCCTTTACAAAGGTTGTACCCAAACCTTGCAAACCTCCCATTTGAGAGACGTGAATTCTAGCCAACTAGACTAAAAGCCTAGATAGTTAGTGTATCAAAGTATTATTCATTTAGTATGCAACTCTCAAAAATCCTTCTCTTGCAAAAACATGCAAAAATGGCCCCTCTCAAAATCACCTCTAGCAAACCCAAGGGAGCCCCTCTTAAAACTACTCTTCAAAAACTAACAGCACCACTTTCTTTCAACTGCCATTTTTCCACAATTAAAATTGTTCCACCACAGTTGAACTGAAACATGCTAGAATATCGGGTTCACTCCCGGAGTTCAAATGAATTTGGTTCAAAAGCCTAGGACATCAAGGTAGGAAAACTTCAATGACATTCAAACTCCCATATATAGATGGAATAAGCCACTTTAGTGGCAAATCTTACCATTTTATTAACATCCACTTTTCAGAACACAATCTTCTAATTCTAAAGTAACTTGAAATTTATAGTCAAAAATGAAAGAATACATGGGCTTTGAATGTTGATGCCTTTCAAGTGTATCAGACAGAAAGGCCAATTGGCCTGAAAGCCCTGCCTCCATGATCTATAATATGCTGATGCCACCTAAGATTATATATATATTTATACTGTGACTGTGAACAAGTAGAGCTTCAGTACCAGGGCAAGAGCCAGCTGCAACAGAAAGATACCAGCCACAATCAAAAACCACCTTTCACCTGCAGACTTAATGTGGTTTCTGAGATTAAGTGCAACGAAGGTTGCCGACATGAACCCAGCTACCCCTGCAACCACCCATCTGAAAATTTCCCAGGGAATGACGGAGAGACACTGCAAAAATATAAGGAGCAAAAATTTCAGCAGCAAATTAGTTCCTATCAAGAAAGCACACACTATATTAGAACAATAATTAAGGAGAATTATCGCTAACATGGGTTGCTATGGAAGTTTCACAAGAAAGTATGCATTGAGGCATTGGGTCTTAGCAGTTGATGCAGTAAAGAGCCTACTTGTCGGACTCTCAAGTCAACACTCAACAGTGGCTATGAATGTAAATTAATTTGCAGACTTTTGTTAGATGAAATATGAAATTCAACATTACTAAGAGCGAAATGAAATGGTATGGAGTAGAATTATTCATATGTCAACGGGAATGTGTAATATAAAAAACCCATTGTTTAATACATTCCCAATTTCTTACTAGCAAAAGCCACATGTATAATCACATAAAAAGGTACTTTATACAGGTCAAACTACTTGGACCTGTAATATCCCTGATCAACATACAATCTTTATATACCATATATAGGCAATTTTTAGAAGCATGAAATTCGCCAAAGATTTTCAAGAACAACTATTCAGACTAAAACTGAAAGCATAAACCTTACCAAAGCAGGAATGAAGACAAACAGGGAGTAGCCATACAGACAAAACAGCTGAATGAGACCAGATGGAGCAGAGAAGTATTTGAGAATTATATAGAGGCAAATAGGAACTATAGTGACGTAGCCATAAAACAAACCCGCAGACCAAGTCACCAGATTTATGTCATAGTTCCATTCTTTTTTCTGTAGCTTGTGTGCCACATAGGTAACAAATGTGCCAATGGAAGCCGCCACAAATATTAAGGTGCTGCATATCCAGAATGGCCCATACCTGCTCAGCATAGGAACTTAAGATCATGATACAAGTTTTGACAATAAAGGAAAATGATGGATAAGTTACTTTTCTAAAAAGAAACAACGAAAATGATGGACAAGACAAAAATATAATATCATATAAGTTAACCATATGTTTGTTTTGATGTAACACGTTCTACTCAAGAAAATATTTTCCATTAGAACCATTTGATATGAAACAAAATCATGTTTGTCACATTTTCAGGCGTTTCATTACGTTGGAAAATAATTATCTTTATTAGTGATTTAAACAAAATACCTAAATAACTATGGATTTGGGTCACTTTGCAACAGTGGCAACATAACTCCTAGAATATGGACATATATGTAAATGGGGATATATGTCAAAATGTATGTAACACAGTTTTTTATAACAATGCAAGCATAGTCGTTTGCATATCTATTATTTAGACATATATGTCGAAAATGAATTCCACCAAAAAATCTCAAAATCTAGAAGTCCTTTTTCAGCATTTATAAGCTATTTTCAGTAAAATATTTTACGCCAAAAAATTACCCATACCACCCAACACCGGAAAATGCTGCAAATATATTACACCAAAACAAGCGGAGTGTAAACTCATCAGTTTTCCTTTACAACCAAACAATTAATAAAGGCTGCAAAATTTTGCAAGAGAATTACAAGCTTTATTAGTTGTATCCCAAAACTTCAAGATCATCTGGAGCATATGCTACCCAATAAAATCACTTTGGTGGTCTCAAGAAAAATTTCAATGTTTGCGGTAGTTCTGAATTGGCTATTTTATGTCTCTTCCTAGCCTTCTTGGTGAGAATATCCATGATCTATCTAAATTGTATAAATAGGAATCCATGCTGATGACTTTCACAAGAAATTTACAAAAGGAAAGATAAACAAATTACAAAGGATTTTAATCCACAAGGTACCAGAAAAATCAACAAAAAGATGTGTCACATGTTTGACTACATAAAATCAATAAAAAAGAATTAGTGGTAGAGTTAATGAAAGGTATAATAGAAGGCTACTAACAGTCTCACTTAGGCAGGATGCTGGACACAAATATAACCTTTGGCATATCCTAGTACAAAGTCACTGCTCTCATACTTCAAATCAAAATCTCAAGCTTAAAAGCCCACAAAGTTTAGCATTGAACGAAGCAATGACCTCTAATAGGTTCCAAGAAAAGAATTATTACACTCTAATAGGGTACTGAAACATGGAAAAGAAGCAAAAAGCATATTACGGGAAAGAAAAAAAAAACAAGAATGGGAAAGATGCAAAATCCCATAAGCAAAATGCAAAATCAATCTTGACTTCAAAATTCACATCAAATATAAAAAATAAGAAGATTGCATTACTTGTTTTGGCAGCCGAGGCTATTCCAACTGCTGATCGTCTAAGAACAATAACAAAAAATGTTGTCAGTTGGTGCTTAACGGGCAAGGAGTCAGCATAAGGCGTGAATAATCTACTCCTTCACTGTCCAGCAGCAAAAGAACTATGGATCCAACTGTTTGGCCCTTTGGAGTGGAATGCCTTATGCTTGGAAAGCTGGAGTACACTAAGAAAGGGATGGTATGGCAAGGAGTGTGAGGGAGACAGCCCCTCTTTGTTTAATGTGATGTGATGCATTCAGAGGTAACACAATACACAAGCTTTTGAAAGCATTGAATTATAGATTGAAAAAGGGGCTTCACTCGGTTGGTGAGAATGAAATTCTCACTGGTAACAGGGCCATTACAGGTCAGTATTTGGTCTGGCTTTTAAAGATGTCGAATTATAGATTGAAAAAATGGGCTCCACTATATAGGCGAGAATGAGATTTTCACCGGAACAGATGTTACAGGCTGTTACAGGCCAGTAATGGGTGGTCTGTAATGGCTGATATGAGCCAAGGACATTCACTCATTCAGTCATTTACAATACAATAAATTCAGTCCTTACAAACCTCCAGGACCTTACCTTCCGAGACAAAATCGAGAACCTTCCTCTGAGATGGAAATATAGATCGAGGGAGTGAGACAACAGTCAATCGATGACAAGAAAGGGGAGGGTACTATAGGATAGTACTATCTGTTCAATGCACTTGCCTAAGCACTTAGTTGAATCGATAATGTTCGATCAATCCAGGTATGCAACTTCATCTCCACTCAATTTCGCCTCTTATGGAAATTATAATGTATATTTCTTATATTTTTCCTTCATGCTCCCTTAATTAAATTGTTTTGTGCAATTTTTTATATTTTTCAAAAATTTGTGGTTAGGGTATTGATTTGGGGTCAGTTTGGATTTGAGGATAGAATTGACATCTGGTGTCAGAGTTTTCGGCGATCCAGGTCGCAATTGTACCCCATTCAGGGTCGTGTGACCCTGATCGGGGGTTGTAGGGTGGTAAACAAATTCAGGCAACACTCAGTTTTCATTTCCAGTATTAATGGATTCTGATATTTTACATTTCATGACTTGAGTCCTGGATATGTGGCTGACAATTGACAATCTTAAATAATTTCTTGCAGCAGGAGCTCAATCTTAAAGTATAATGATGTATTGAATATGTTTCCATTGTTATTAGACTGATCTCAGATTGTAATTATTCCCTTCTCCTTTTTTATCTGTTACAACAATGTCCCGAAGGATGTATGTACTTTAAATTTGTATCAGCACACAAACACACATTATGAAAACAAATTTGTGTCCAAATTCATTAACCCAAGTTCAACCCGAGCTTTAAAAACTAAACATGGGCAATACTAGGGTTGAAGAATAGGGTTGATTGTCGGGTTCAAATTGAGTCCATATTGAAGCTTTCATAATTTGGATTGAGCTTGAGTTGACCTCCTAACTCGTCTGAATTGCACCTCTACCAAAATTGTAATAAATCTCGTCTCTTTGGTTGTATATAAGCCTCTCCCTATAATTTGATTGCTTCTGGTCGCAAGCATCTCTATTCCAAATTGTGAGTGTACCTCCAAAGACCATGACATCATAGAAAAATATAAGAATGTCAATTTCATTAAACATATTTAACACAGAATCTTCTAGAAGGAGGTTTGTTAATAATTTGAGCACCATAAGAATCGTGCTAAATTATCAATTTCATATTTATAGTATTTTTTTGTGGTGAAGGTAGATTACCATATTTTAGTAACCAATTATCTTTATTTTGATAAGAAACAAAATAGTTATTAAGAGAAGGAGATACATAGTATGGCGGAAAAAGAATCCAATCAATTGTACAAACATAAGAAGAAAAAACATACAACTACATTAAAAATAAGGTTTAACCCAACCCCCGCATGGGCATGAGGGGGTGGTTTTGGCCAAAAACACATCAACTCCTCGAATTTTAAAATTATGCAAATGACCTCCCCATTATTGTGTACCAAAGTGAAACCGTTACATTTTGCCATCCATTTGCCATTCAAACTGACAGAGAATATGCTTCACACGCCCAAAGCATGTTGTGGGCTTTGTTTTCATAGCTTCCCTTGAAAAAATTTATGTTTAATACCTAAAATATCCTTTACAAGCTCTGTCTTCATCAATGTTATTCTTCAGTCTCCATCATACCCCAAATAGAAATTGGAAAAACCACTAACTTGTAGAAGACAAAAGAGTCTTGATTAAATCTGTAGTGCTAATTAAATGGGTGCTTTTAACTGGTGGGAAGTTGATGATATGGGTACAAAATACTTATGATTTTTCTAAGTATCACTGTTGGAAGAAAAAGAAAGTTTCGTTGAAAAAGATGGAAGAGCAAATTCTGGCACAATTTTAGCCCTTCACGCTAGGGGTGTTCACCTGACCTTTAGGGTCGGAAGAGCCGACTTCTGCCAGCCGAACCTATTATAGACAGAAGTAAAATTTATAAACCGAATCGAACCATTCATCATGAACAACCGAACAGAGAACCGACTATATAAATCGGTCAGTTTTAAGTTCGGTTATCAGGTGGGGAGAGTCCTAACATTTGAATCCAAAAAAAGAGCTTCAGATTCAATAAATCAACCTAACACTTGAATCCAAAAAATTTAAGGACCTGAGCTTATACTCCCTTGGAATCCAATAAGCTAGCTTCCAGAATTTTCCACTTAGGCCATCACCATATCCCATCTTTTTCTTTTTCTTTTCCACTGTCTGCACATCCTTTAACCCATCTTCTTTTTCATTATTCGCACATCCTTCAACCAGTCTTCAATTAAAGGATGTTGTCTTATAAGACTAACAAGATTTGCTCATGGAGATGGAGAAATTACAGGCAAGCTGTGGTCGATTGGTCATTATAGAAGATAACGTTTAGTGGCTTTAGAGAGAAAGGAAGAGAAAAGGAGCCGCAGAAACTACAGAGGAGGTGTAGATTTTATTTAGTTTAGGGTTTGAGGGTTTTATATTTTATGTTTTTTATTTTTTTTAAAGACAAAATATTGTATATATGCATACGTGTCTAATATAGTCAAACGGTTTGGGGAATTAGGCTTTGGCTTGTACCAACCCGTACACCGAACCGATTACTTTAGCTATTTGTGTATCAATTCCGTAAGCCGAATCGGCTTACTTTGCACCCGCCCATTTTCTTTCGGATCGGTCTGTTACGGTTCGGATGATCAGTTATTTGGTTTTTTTGAACACTCCTACTTCACGCTATTAAATTACATGGGTAGATTCTATTTTTCATGGGTAATTAAATCCATATGGTTTTAGTATTTAATCTAGGGCAAGCCGATCACACCAATTGCACAGAGAGAGAGAGAGATAGAGCCGATCACACCAAGTCGATCTATGAGAGATCTGATGGCATCAAGCCTCCGGAAGCATCAGGAAAAAGAATCCCAAAGTACCCATATCTGATCTCAAGTCTGTGGCGAGTCGTATAAATAGAAGAAGATGACATATGTGGTTGATCTCAGGTCTATAACGTCTTCTACCCCTCTTCTTTTTCTTTTTTTTTTTGGGTTTCAATAAAGATCTGTAGTCGTATCCCTCCCGTATTCGAGTTGTATCCATCCACAAAACCAGCTTGATCACTGTTCAAGACACTTGTGGAAGTGTCGGACACGTGTCCGACGTGTCCAACGCATATCCATGTCAGACACGCGTCCGACACCGCCACGTCGACCTTCGGAGGAGTATCCGTGCTTCCTAGGTGGCTGCTACTCCTATGGTGGTACAACAGTACAAAAACGAACTAGATTTTTGAAGTCTCACTAGTACCATTTCAAGAATTGATGATAGCGGAGAGGTGTAAAACCAAACTGATTTTGTAGTCTATCAAAAGTATCTTTCATATTCTTCTTGTTTTTCTTAGCAAACCATATTGATAATCCAGAGCAAGAAAGAAAGAAAGAAAGAAAATGTGGTTGTATGTGTGTAGAACAGAGAAGAGAGAGAAAGAGGCAAGAAGGGAGAACGAGAATCGGTCAAAGTAGGAGAAAGAGGTAGAAGGAAAGGATAAAATTGTCATTTTCTTGGTTCCGTTATCAGCATCAACTTTTCACTTTGATACCAAACAATAGGGAGGTTATGTGCAAAATTTTAAAAGTTAAGGAGGTAAGTTGTTTTTGGTCAAAACCACAGGGAAAAAGGTAATTACCCCATAAAAATAAGATACCAAGCCAAGTTAAATCATCTTTAGCTACAAATCTCAATCCAATCGTGATGAATCAAAAACAAGGAAAGATCCCAAAATCTTTACTGATCGATACTATTCATACTCAACTTTATCCTCAAAAATTATAGTATTTCTTGGAAGAATTAAATTATTTAAAACTGAAACACCTAATACTGATCCCACAAAAAATTCGATTAATTTCTTTCATTCAAATTACTCAAATAATGGCCAAGACCATACAATTCCAAAGCATAGAAACCTTCTTACTCATCCCAAACTTCCAAAATCATCCACAAAGAATGAGGCAAATCTTGTGGTAAAACCCAAACCATCCTCCCTCCCTTAGACAGAGTATGCTGCAAGCCGGTAACTTTAATGCAATGGGACAGGGATTTAACCTATTATCTAAATGAAGGACTTGAAAAACATGACACAATATTGTTGGAACTAACATTCCTCACGAAGCATCCAATCACTTGTCCAAATGAACTTCCTAAGTGATTATAACTGATCCTTGACCATATTATGCTGCCAACAGGCATGTTTACTCATAGAACTTAAATAATGTTAACACATTTCTGGACAGAAGTATGGTACTACTATTTTAACACACAACTTTCTGATAATCAATAATGTCTATACCTTCGAAGCTTTCGAGATTTTGAAAAAATTTATATCATGAAGAAAAATGAGGATGCGACAAAAGGGACTGAAAAGGTCATGTCAATTGGCATCTCAGATTGTAGAAACGAGTACAAGAAATAATCCTTTCTCAACAGTGTGATTTTCCAATACATGTTAATCTGATAATTGAAACAGAAATACTCCCTCTGTCCCAAACTACAGACCCTCTTTTAAAAACCAGGCTTTTAACAGAACACTTTTATATTCAAATTGCAGCAGAAATTTTTTACTTTCCAAAAATTAGCCTCCTCTTTGATTAATTTTTTTATCTTCCCTCCCACAATATGTTTTTAAGGTTAGCCCCATCTAAGGAAAATTTTGAATTTTACAAGATAGGGTACATTGACTTCTGCATGGGACTAAATTTTGAAAAAAAAAAAGGAAGGAGGTCTCAATCATGGGGTAGGGGAGTAATGAAAAGAGCAAGGTAACTTACAGATCAGGGTTGCTAGCAGTCTTCTCGGTAAAGCTCCCACTGAAAGGAAAGAGTGAATCTTTAATCCTCTCTAAAACATCAGCCGTGTCAACATCAAAGTAGGGCCTGTAAGCAGCAATTGTGAAAGTCCGAAACCAACCACTTGGCTGGGGTTCACCAGAACCAGATGCCGGTTTTGAGAAAGTATCTGTATCAACAAACAAGAAATTTTAGGTGTGAAAGAAATGGAAATTCACTAAGACAAAATATAATGTAACAATAAGCAAGAGAATTCTCCAAAAGGAAAACTGGGAAAATGAAAGTAATAAAGGACAAAAAATAGGACCATCCTTTGAGCTAATAAACAACAAACAGGGTTTGTTTGATAAAGTTGATTTTTAAGCTGAAAATCTTTATATGTAGACTGAAATCTAGTATTGAATTGGATCAAACAATTTGATCAAAAATTGTGAATTTTCTAGTTTTATCTTTCTCCTCCACAACCCCACCACTGCTATCCCATTCCCACCACCACTTCATAACAATCATTGCCACCACAACCACCACCTCACACACACACATTACCACCACCATCCCAACCCTACTGCCACAATCACCTTTTTCGCCATCACCCCACCACTTTCTCCATCTCCCCATCATCACCGCCACCACACCATCACCTCCGCCATCACCACAATCAACAACTAGACTACCATCACAACCACCATCAATGCTAGGACATCCACCACCATCTCCACAGTAACACCACGCCCACCATCGTTGTTGCCACCACCGCGATGGAGGGGTGTCGGTAGTGGCGACAACGATGATAATGATAAATGAATTAGGTGGTAGTGGTGGTGACAATGGTGATGAACCTAATATTTATCCTATTATAGTATAGGTTAGTCCTACTATATAGTTATAGTAGTAGAGGGGGGGGGCGTTTGAGGCAGTGAGCGAATGACCCAGTCAATCCTAGGAATAAGCCCGCTTACTAAGAAGTAGAAGTTCATATGCCCAGCAACGGATTTCAAACAGACCATGGCTGACAACGAGGGTCTCTGGGCCCTATCAAAGCCCTATTATTGTAAAGCTACAGCTTGAAAGCTGACCTTATCCTTTATTATAGTAGTTAAAGTCTCGCTTTTTGATAGGAGTAAGTGGTTGCTAAGGCAGTACACTTTTTATTCTTCATTCCAAACTAAACTAATAAATATCAGGTCAAGGTTTTCTGCCTGGTTATCAAAAAGGGAGTTGGATAAAGTAAACTCCCTCCTTGGATGAGCACAGGCTTAGTCAAGTAGAATCGGGTTGTGCTGCTTGATGCTCCGATCGAAAATAAATCAGTTGAGCTATGCCGGTACGACTAAATATGGGTTAGAAAAGTCAATTCCTCCCTTGGTAGTGGAAGGATGACAGTAATAGCAACAATGAGGTGGTGGGAAGGCAGTGGTAATGGTAGTGATGCTAGTAGTGTGGGGGTGGTGGCAATGGTGATTATTGGGGGGGTCATAACTATGAATGGTACTAGTAGTGATTGTTTGATTGGTGGGAGTGGGCGACGTTGATGCCAATGAGGTGCTGGTGTGGTGGCAATGCTAGTAGTCAAAGTTCATAAAATTCTTATTCGCCATGCATATTCAACATTTAGTGACAAGTAAGAGGTTTGCTATGTAAAATTTTAATATATTTTCAAGCTGATGACGATAAAAAAAAGTGTAGAATTAATTAAGAATGTGTGAACTAATAAGATCCTAAGGCAAAAGTTAATAACTGAAAATTAAGGTTTAGAGAAAGAAAGAAATTATGAAACAATATTGTATGCTGGGTGTGTATTGTGTACACCCTATCACCTATATATATTAGATTAGTATGGAAGACAATTACAATATTAAGAAAATAGAACATAATAATGAAGTTAAAGTAGAACATAACAGGGAAGTAGCATAATAAGAAAGTTGAACAATAGGAAAGTAGATCTCTAACACTCTCCCTCAAGCTAGACTATATATATCATAGAAACCAAACTAGGAACAAATAACTTCTATACTACTACAACTTTAAGCTTTGATAAAAATATCTACAAATTAATTTTCAAGCCAGAGTTACTAGAATTCACTAAATCCCTGACGACCAACAATTTAGGTATATCAATCCCAAACAAGGTGGGTTCGCGATTCAAATTACCAAAATGTACGACCCCGAATTGTACACATAGAACAAATATAAAATACATATTAATTAACTACGTGTATATAAATTTAAAATTATGTATTATTTTAGATAATAGAAATCCGGCACAAATATAAGATAAATGGTAACTGACTTAATGTTTATGGATATTCTATGTTATATAATTTTGAATAGTGGTAGAAACGATGTAAATAAGAGTTTTAAAACGAATTACGACCCAAAATACCATAACAGCTTAGTCTACCATCATTGTATCGCGTACCTAAGAAAGTGTGATACATTGTACCCGCACTCATATCACGTACCAAAATGACCCACGATCCAAATAACATTGTTTCAGGCTTCACAAATGGGGTCACAATATCGCCATGTAAAACAATTTGTAAAATAGAACCACAATACTCACTTTAATCGACACACTATGACGATATTGCTCCTAAACAACAAACTTAGGAGGTTACTCTATATGAAGTCCAAGACATAAGCTAAACATATTTCTTCTATGATATTGTGATCTACTCTGAGTCGGCGACCAACCAACATCGATGATCAACAATAGTGGAGAGACCAACAGAAACAAAAAGAATGCTTGATAGGGATCGTGTTGAAGTTGGATAGATATTATTCATACCAAAGGATTCAAGTACTACAACAATGATCTGACACCGACAACATGAATAAAGGATTCAACAACCGATAATAATTAGAGCAGCCAATGAACATTTGGTGAAGACACTAATGATAAGAAAACTGCAACTTACATTGAATTCGGTGACGACAACAATTGGCAACCACAAAGATGGGTGCAACTTAGATGTCTGCAGGAAGTTGTCTGCTGGACCACAGCCTAACCGCTAGGCAAGTGATGCGCTCGTCTAAGGCCCCAATCACCTAAGTATCTTACTCTGATACTAAGTTAAAACTTAAATAATTGACTATCAAGGTTAAGGGAAAAGAAGAATAGTAGAGTAAGAAAGAGATTATGAAACAATATTGTGTGAAAGGTGAGTATTGCCTACACCTTATTAGCTATTTATATTAGATTAACAATGAATATAATTACAATATTAGAAAAGTAGAATATAGTAAGAAAGCAAGAGAATTTTTTTTTCCTTCTAGGAAACAAGAACTTTTATTGATGAAACTAAAAAAACATAAAAAATTACATGAAGCTTTCCAACTCTTTAAAATAGCAATATTTACTTTGAAATCAAATCCCAAAACAAAGTTAAGAAATGAATGCGGTCCCATAAACCCTTCATACTTTCCCATAGATAATCAAATATTTTTTCATTTCTTTTCTTCTAAATATCCCAAAACAAAACAATGATAGTGCAATTTTAAAGTGTAGCACCCTTTTCACGACATCCAAACCCTTTCAAATTTTCAATAAACAAAGATAAGGAAAACATAGAAATCACCCAAATTAAGCAACCTGGCAATGAAGAAAAAGATGGTCAATACTTTCAACATCATCTTTATACATCACACACCACCGAGGGGATAAACACCTATAGTGTCTCCTCTTCTGAAGCACATCATTCACGTTAAACTTACAATGTGCAACAATCCAATACAAAAACTTGCAATTTGATAGAGACACTTTAACCTTCCAAATCATTAAAGTTGGAATAAAGATTGGACAAGAATCTTCATCAAACAAAGATATTCAAAGAATGATTTACAAGAGAAAACACCCAAGGACTCTAAACACCCACCTTTTTCTATCACTAGACTCTTGGTCCAACATAGAATTACTAAGAATAGCAAGACATGAAATTAAATACCTAATGTCTCTTTCATCTAAATTCCTAGAAATCCAAAATTACAAGAATACGAATAATCATAAGGCTGAATCACACAAATAATACATGATCCATGAAAACAAGATAATTGATAAAAACATAGAAACAAAATATGAAAGGGGTGACTATCTCACCTATTCATCTTTCCAAAAATGAGCTCTCTCCCGTTACCCACTACAAACTTGGAATGTTGAGAAAACCTTATTAATCCCTGAGAAATGAATTTTCACGGGTATGTAAACCATAGTTGCTCTTGATAACTAAATGCCATAAGAAATTTGGTTCCAAGGGAAACTTTCACAACCACTTATCCATTAAAACAATATTTCCAGCCTTTAATTTTCCAATTGAGACAACTTTTATCATCAGATCTAAAAACCAACCCCCAACTAATCAAATGATCATTTCTCCCCTCACCACTACATTTCCACAACAAGTTTCTCATAATTTTTTTTTAATTTTCATGATATCTTCATTAGCATCTTAAACAAGGATAAAAAGTATGTGAGAATATTCACTAGGATTGATTGAACCAACGTTAACATCCCCCTTTAGAAATATAAGCTCTCTCTCATCCATCTAATCTTTTCCCACTTTGTCCACTCTCGGGTCCCAAAATGATAAAGATAAAGGATTCCCCCAAAGGTAAACCTAAGAACTTTAACAACCATTCCCCCACTTTATATCCCAAAGTCCCACAACTCAATTAATTTTACTCATAATAATGCCCACAAGTACACTCTTATCCAAATTCACTTTCAATCCTAACACCAGGCCAAGAATCCCCACAATACTCTTGAAATTTAAAAAATTTTCCTCATTCCCCCACAGAAAAAATGTTGCATCATAGGCAAATTGGGAATAAGAAGTCAATAACCTGTCTCTCCCCACAATAAAACCACCCTCAAGGTCACAACACTCTGCTCTTCTCATTAATCGACTTAACCCATAGCAATAAAAATAAAAAGGAAAGGAGATAATAGATCACCCTGTCTCAATCCCCTAGATACCTTAAGTCTACCCTTAGGCATTTCTTTAAGCATCACACCGAACTTCATAGAATGAAGGCACCCTATAATCCAACTTCTCCACCTTCCTTCATTTCCTTTCACCTTCATGACGTAATAATAAAGGACATACCTTTAATAAAATATACATATATAAACTACCAAAAGGACCTTATTTTAATTTTGTAGAAGATAACAAG